CTCCTAAAACACTGCAAAAACAGTACAAAGAATAAACGAAGGTGCATCGTTTCTCACGACGAAATAGCGTGAATCGTGGTGCCACTGTCGATATTACAATCTCAGATTGAATATTCGAGAGTAAAGGCTAGACTGGATTTGTTAGTTGTAAAAAGCTTTCAGCTGCTGTAGCCCCAATCAAAAGCGACTGATCGCATCGAATAACAGACGAACAATTTGGAATGCACAGAAAAAGCACAGAATTTGGTTCGTCATTCTACACATGCATAATAATTGAAATAAAAAAATACTGAAGCATAGGAATATGAAGAAAGCATGGAAAGGCCCAATCCATCAATTCGATATGGATCTAACCAAAACTGTTTCACAGCATGAAGGTATAGAAATATTCGCGATTGAAGGAAAAATCTAAGAAAAATGAGAATAAACAAAAAAAGGACCAAATAAGAGATTAAGCACCTTAATCTAGGACTATAGGGCTATATAAAGGATCGACCAAAAATATGAGACGAACCGCCATGATTCCAGCAAATAACAGAAACTAAATTAACCTCGGAATGAACTTTACAGAGAGAAAAGGAAAAAACGAATTAACGAGCGTGTCTGTTGCGTCATCCGGGCAATAATTCACAGGAAATGAGAAGAGGGAAGCGGCACGGAGGGGGGCGAAAGGACGATACTCGGGAAGGGGGAGGTGTGGCGAAAACAGGCTTGGCTCGACAGGAGTCAGCCGAGCGCGATGGATCGATACGCATGGCCACATGGCGAGCGGTTGGAACTCCCACTGGGCCAAATTTCCCCACACTACACTCTTCCCAATCATCTAGTCTGGGATAAATTGTGCCGGCTGCCCGCAGCCTTAAGCTATAAACTTTGGGGGCGGAGCGGATCGACATCATCTGACGAACGGCTTTCTCCCAAGGGTCTACCACTGTACTATGGGCGAGAAATTGCCTGCGTGGGATGTCTAATCGAATCAGCTGGGCTTCCTTCGATTCATAGGCAGTGGGTGAGTAAGTCCAATTGAGAGATGGCAATGGTTCGATTGCCGGCAGCGCGTGGATTGTGAAACGATGAGCGAGCGGATGAGTCACATTCGTACGTCGTTACTAATACCCAAACGTGCCACGTAGTTCCAGTGGGGCAATTTAGTTCGTGGAGAATGTGATGGGGGGAGGGGCACCGTTACAGTCGGGGTACAGCATCGTTGTGTGAAACACATAGGGGGTCGTACTTTTTCTCTGGGGAGGGGGGTCGTATTTGGTCGTTGGGAGAGAGGGGGTCGTATGTGCCTTTGAGAGAAATTTGTCGCGTTGGTTTTCCGGTTGTTGACTTTTTGCGTGATTTTTCCTGTTTCATGTGCAGTTCAGTTCCTCCCCTCCCCCTTTTCACCTCTCATACGGAAATCTTTGGGTGAAAAAACTGGAAAATGGGGGGAATTCGTAGGTAGGTGTTGTATTGTGTTGGGTGTTGGGGGAGAGGTCGCACCGAGACTCTCATTTAGGTTGGGGGGGGTCGTACTGACATTCTCTCTCGGAGGGGGTCGTACCTACACCACCAGCTCACACATCACACGATGCTGTACCCCGGTGCAAAAATCGAATACTTCGGTGATGTTATTTCATAGAAAATTCTTTATGGGGGCATAATTAATAATATGGAGTTTTCCGAGTTTCTCCTAACTAAGTTGGCTTGTGTTCGCCAGGGAAAGGGATCGATGCCATGTTCGCAGTAAAAAATACGTCTAAAATGAATTACATGAATCATAAACCTTCATTTTACACCACGATCCCGCCCATCGCATGTACCCAGGCACGTCTTGCCACTAGGGAAATTTTCCGGAACCAGGACTCTCCTCTTTTTTTAGAGAGTTAGTGCGACTCCCCTACCGGTTCACTCCTCATCGAGCTGTCCAGCGAAGGGGGGGGGTATGTAGTACACAAGAAAAAGGGAAAACCACAAAAAGTAAGCAACCTCCCTCAGAATGAAATACGACCTCCCCCTTCCAACAACGATCAAATACGACCCTCCCCTTTCCAACGTCCCTGAAACAAGGAAAATCAAACTACCAAGAAATTTCTCTCGCCCCAAATACGACCCCTTCCTTTCTAGCAGTACGACCTTTTGTGGAATCTCCAACAACGATGCGCCTCGGGTTGGAGAGAAAGAGGCTGCCAGCAACCAACTACCAATTTAATCTATCAGAAATAGTACCAGGGCACACCATTGAATGAGGGTCTCCGCCCTACCCCCCTCCCCCCCCCCTTTTTTTGAGGGG